TGCTCTCATTGACGAACCCAGTGGAGGCAAACCCGGTGACACAAGTCTAGCCACAGGAGTGTATGGACAGAACAACAAAAAATCAAAATAAAATCAGAAGAAAATAAATGGTACTACATTAATTTCTTGAAAGCTGCGGTCCCGCACTCCCCTGCGCGCGGCCCTATATAAAGGCCCCCGTCATACGCATCTCCAGCAGTCACTCGCCGGCACCACCAGTACCAACCCCACCCACCCCACCTCCTCGGCTCACTCGGCACCAGAAGCAAAGCAGCTAGGTAGCCATGGTGCACACCTCGAGCCCGTCGTTGTTGCTCGTGCTGCTCGTCGCGGTGGCGGTGGCGGCAGGAGCCAGATTGCCCGTGGATGCGGCCCGGAACGCAACGTTGGGCGAGCTCCGCGTCAAGAACGGCCTCGGCAGGACCCCGCAGATGGGGTACTTTCATGCTGCCATCCAACTGCTCTTGTCTCCTCTTTGTATTTTCTGCTTCCCTCGTCCAGTCGTAGATCTAAAGATTATTTTCCTTTCCCAGCATTTATATTGGAACCAACATGTGTCCACTCCAGAGTTTGCATAGATCTACAACGTGTTTCGTTTGTGGGATTTAGAGGCGGGGAATGGGAGTTGAGGGGTGAGGAGATTTAAAATCTATTGGTCGATTAATTAGAAGAAATGTGAATTTAATTCGGAAGGACAAATGGGAGTTGAGAGGGACAATTCCCACCATTTTGTTCCTATGGGATACCCTGTTAATTCGTGGGTAGAGCTCAACCTCAACTAATTCTCAACTTATACCAAACAAAGAAATAGGAGTAAAAATCTAATTTCCATGTCTAATCCTGATATAAGTTCCCTTGTGCAAACTCCTATTCCCCTACCCAATGGTTACTAAACAGCTGGCTGCTAGTGTTTATATTAACTCATTGATTCAGCAGTGTTCAGTGTTCATTACTATATCGATGAGTGACTTCATCAATAATGCAAAATCTACAGTGATCTTGAAAGCAAAAGAAAACAGCCATTTTTTTCTGAAGACGAGCCTCGCCATGAGTCGTGATTTTCCTTTTGACCTATGCAGCTATACTTCGTCATAGGTCGCCATTTTCTATTCTACTCCAGTTTAATCTGATCTGATCCTGACTCATGATGAAACATTTCGTGTATTAGGTGGAACAGCTGGAACCACTTCTACTGCGGGATCAGCGAGGGAGTCATCAGGGAGACAGGTAAGGCCTGGACACCGCCTCCTTCCTTCCTTGTACCACTTTGTTTTCAAAACGGAAAACCCCGGCCTCTGCATCATTAGGATGCACACATCTATCTTTATTAAATAAAAAAGGTCTCAAAAGTAGATTGTCTCAACTAACACAGCAAAAACTAAAAGAAAACATCACAACCGGTGTGTATAATAGAAAGATTACATAACTTAATAATGTAATCTATTAGTGACATGCTAGCCAAACCGGTTGAATAACGCCTGTGCAACCATCTCCAAACAGTTGAACCCAACCCCCGTTTCAAGCCTCAAATCCTATATCTTGCCTGTATATGGATCTCCTTATACCTGCAATTCTGAACCTCCCTTTCACTTCTTCAATGCACATTCGGCCCAATCACTAGCTAATTTTGCGGTGCTTTCCTTCAGCTGATGCATTGATCAACACTGGTTTGGCGAAATTGGGCTACAAATATGTTAACATCGGTATGGATTGCTCTCTGGACCATATTTCCCATGACATGTTGGACACAAGTACTAGAATATTTTTAGCAGAATATTGTTTACTCAAATATGTTTTCCATCTCTTGTTTCAGATGATTGCTGGGCAGAATTAAACAGGGATTACCAGGTAAGGAGATGAACTTGAGCATTTCTAACCATCCCTATCATTTTCAGTATAGTGCAACGTATTGCAGAATTATGTTTTTAATACAATTCAACAAATCCATCTAAACATTAGTAAAAAACAATTGCTTGTCCATACTAGTTTGAAGATAATATTAAACGTTTTAGAACCAGAAGATTAGTTATATGTATACCATTTTTATTTTATTTCTGTGAGTACTGATAACGTGGTATCATGATTTCTCAGGGTAACATGGTTCCAAATAAAAGAACATTCCCCTCTGGCATCAAGGCGCTTGCAGATTATGTGCACGCGAAAGGGTTGAAGCTCGGCATCTACGGTGATGCTGGGTATGCTAGCTATCCAATTCATCATAAAAGTAACACTAATTTGTTCTTACACTGTAGCAACTAAACTCTTCATTGGCCCAAGAAAACTAGAATTTGTAAATATGATAAAATGGCAATGCACTAAACTAACTGGCACCATGCATGTATTGCAGGACACAAACATGCAGTAACAAAATGCCAGGATCACTCGATCACGAAGAGCAAGATGTCAAGACGTTTGCGTCTTGGGTATTACCCCTTATATATAATTACTTACCTGATGGCTCATGCCAAACCAACACTGACACCAGAAACCCTGATGTTCTTGTAATTCTTGCCTTCTTGTCTCCAGGGAGTTGATTATCTGAAGTACGACAACTGCAACGATGCTGGCAGGAACGTCAAGGAAAGGTACGGAGACAATACCTAGAACTGCGTGCGGCATGAACAGTGCAATGTTTCTTATGTCTTAGTTTGTGAAGTAATTTGCCATGGTTGATGCAGATACACTAGGATGAGCAACGCCATGAAGAAATACGGGAAGAACATCTTCTTCTCACTCTGCGAATGGTGAGTCTGCTTGTCATAACATTTTAGGATGGAAAGGATAAACGTCAAGCATTGGTCATTCACTCTTCTGCGTTTTTGCTGTTTAGGGGAGTCGAAAACCCTGCTACATGGGCACGTGGCATGGGTGGTTGCTGACAACTGGGACAGGTGCTGCCTAATTGATCAACTCAGGGATTTTGGTCAAGTACAGCTATACTAGAATTAGCAGGACTGATCATTGTTATCTTTTTACTTCAGCATGACATCACGCGCAGACCAGAATGACAGATGGGCCTCCTACGCTGGACCTGGTGGATGGAACGGTAAGTGTTTCAGAGGAATCTGTCCCAGTATTATTGTTGATTGCCTAACGATTTGTTAGCTTGGAACTGATCGATGGACAATGTTCTCCTCCGATTTCAGATCCTGATATGCTTGAAGTTGGAAATGGCGGGATGTCTGAAGCTGAGTACCGCTCGCACTTCAGCATCTGGGCACTTGCAAAGGTATTACCCATTTTGTCCCATGTATGAGTACTGTTGTTTCGATTCTCAAAAAGGAATTCTGCATTTCCTCACCGCAACCTGCCTCTGAGTTGTGTAGGCTCCTCTTCTTCTTGGGTGCGACGTGCGCTCGATGAGCCCGCAGACAAAGAACATAATCAGCAATACGGAGGTCATCGCTGTCAACCAAGGCAAGCATTCTCTTACACGTATTTGCGCATGATACCTTCTTCATATGGGATTTTCAGTGTACTCATATTACAGTTGTATGAACAGATAGACTTGGCGTGCAGGGAAAGAAGGTGCAATCCGATGGTGGTTTGGAGGTATTGCTCAATTCAAATATCTTAGTAGTGGCTTCCATGATGAGATTTCTGAAACTGAAACTGGGGAGATAATTTTCTAGGTTTGGGCCGGACCACTCAGCGGCAACAGAAAGGTGGTGGTTCTATGGAATAGGCAGGGGCACCAAGCAACCATCACCACACACTGGTCAAAAGTCGGGCTTCCGGTATCCGCGGCTGTCACCGCTCGCGATCTATGGGCGGTAAGCTTGCTTTCTTCAGAACTCAGTGCTTATCCTTGACAATCCACTACACATTCCAGTGTTTCATCATCACAAAAACTTCCGTCTTGTGGCACAGCACTCGTCATTCTCCGCTCAGGGGCAGCTATCTGCATCAGTGGCGCCTCATGACTGCAAGATGTACATCCTGACACCAAAGTAAATGTAGACAAAAGCATAGCAACTCGATCGATTTGGTTATATGACGTTTGAAATCAGCTACAACAGTATGTAAAGTGCTGTGAAAATGTCGGTGCGTTTGTTTCTGTAGTTGCAAGTTGTAATGGAAGTTGCAGCAATAAAAAATGGGTTCCGTAGCATTATCTTCTACAATGGGGTTTCTCCCTGGAATTCTTGTTTTCAGCCAACCAAACGTATATTACTGCATGACAGCAAAAGGGCTGTTGCTATATGAACTGAGAAAAAAAATCATTTTTCTTGCGTGAAACCTTTAGAGCTTTTGCCTTTTATTCAACAAAAGCGTTCCTAGGACAGTCAACCAAGAGGGTGCTGCAGGAACGGAAGCTGTGAATCAGCGTCCAAAATGCTTTGCACAAAGATGGGCCGGTAAATTTGCGGATCTAGTTACATGTTGAATTACAAAGTGGGTACAACGTAAAGTTAGCTCCCTGATTTTCAGCAAGGCTGGGTGCCACAACAGAGGGTTCATTGTGGCGAGAATTCCAAAGGTTGACCAAAGCTAAACAGTCGGTCTCCATTATGACATGAGTTGATCTCTCAGATTTGCAAAAAGAACACCTTCTTGAAGTGACAATGTCTCTATGATGAGGGGATCAGTCACCCCTGCATGTGGTTTGCTCCAACCACCCAGCAAGCCTCTCGATGAGCAAGGAACACAGCCAGTCCCTCCTCAGAACCGTGACTAATAGCACCATCTACATTGATCTTTAAGAAAGGCGCATGAGCGTGCTCCAACCATGTTCGGGTAACACATTCCCCTGCTGCTTCGGTATGTCCAGAAGCAGCAGGTCTTCTTTGATCCTTCTTACAGATGCATCTGGTTCCAACTTCTCTTGATCTTGTCCACATCTATCCCTTGACCTCCATAGCGCCCACATAACATAGAAATATTTTGCTCTCACCCCGTCACCCGATCTGACCGGGGATCACATATTAAAACATTGCGAGCCCACACGTGTTAGGATGCAGTCTTGCTAGCTTGAAACTGAACCAACTTTGAGCTTCATCCCAAAATATTTTTGCAAGTAAGCAGTGGACTAGTGCATTTACTAGGTCTTTCTCCATAAAAATACAAACATTGCATCTATCACTCTCCTTTCTATGGCTGCGTTTTGGAGCTTCATCTGGGAAAAATACCAATTAGTACACAGTGGCAGCTTCTTCCCTTCTCCGGTGGCAGCTCTCTTCCGCTTCTTCTTTGTCATGGCGGTGGGCGGATCTTGGCTCGAGGCACGAGCTCTCTCCTTCCTATTGGTCTTGCCCATGATAACGGCGGCGCTAAAGGATCAAGGATTGCATGGGTGAATCGCGAGAAACTGGCGACGGCGGCACAAGCAAAGAAACCAGAGGCGGAGGGCTGAAATGGAGAAGACGAGGCAATTTTTCCTTCTTATAAGCCGTCCTGAAACCAAACGGGCGGACATCACGATGTGACACGTGTGGCGTGTTTTGTTCGTGTCCTCGTCCGAACATGCCTGGCCTGAAGCCTTCCTGGAACTTGCCTGCACATTGTTTGGTTTGTATCCTGATGAAGAAAAAGGTGCTAGCCTGGTGAAAAGTTGCTGGCCTTGCTTAGCCTGGCCCAGGCAATTGAAACCGGACGCCTGGGTTCAGTAACCACAGCTGCTTGGGTCAAATAAAGCGATTTTCAGTACAGTTGTCAGATACTAGTACAACATCATCTGTGTAACACTTTCTTCAGGCCATGTTCTCAGCCAAACACCATCTACCCAGGCGTGCCTGACCAGGCAAAAATGGACAGATATCCAGGCTGCTCCCAGGCTGGACTTTTTGCCAGGCACAACGCCCAGGGATCGATCCAAACTAGCCCGTGCTCCACGTCTCCTGCGGTTTCCCGCTCCGCGAAGCACGAGCACGCGAATTCCAGAGTTATCATCATGATGAAGCACCATCAGCGGAGTCCACCCAATGGCTTCCCAAAAGGCATCGGCTAAGTTGGAAGGACGCATCTGCGATGTTCCGATCCTTAGGAAGCCTAACAACAAAGCCCTCGCCACAGGTTGCCCGTCACAGGGCCTCGCTAGCGGCCGGACTCCCCGAAGGGCATATTGAAGACCGAGCACTATGAAGGGAAGGGCCGACCGAAAATCTCGAAGACCAAGTTCTGCAACATCCGACGCGCTCAAGGGCTACTAATGGGGTCATACAGTGGGGGTGGCTCGCCAGCAAGGAGCCTGACGGTAGGCCCACAAGGCCAACCATATACCCAACGACAGAAGGGAGCCCGGAGGAAGGGATATATATATCTCTGGATCATCTTGGTCGCAAAGATGATCACGGCGGTGACCTAGATCGCACCTCCCATTGAGAAACCCTAGGCCCCACCGTGTACATAAGGGGGCTAGTGGACTCTCACTCCCATCTATTCCCATAGAAATAACCATGGATATATAGACTCATACATCTCTCTCTAACCCCTCGCACGTGGTATACACACCATCAATAAACAACCACCAGAATGTAGGGTACTACTCCATCATGGAGGCCTGAACGTGGGTAAAAAAACCCGTGTGACCTCTGGTCTGTGACTTCCAGCTACGCAAGGTACCCTACCGAGAGATCTGACGGTTTTCTGCACCAACAGATGTGTGTAGGGGAAAAGCCAGGGTAAGCGGCCTTGATCATAACCACCACTATCATCAAGCTTGTAGGTGGAGCGATATTTGTCCCCTAGAAGATGAATTTCGAAGTATTGATGTTTTATATTGTAAGACATTATATATTGAATAATATAATGAAAATGATAGTGTGCATCACTCGATACAGAGGCCGAGGTTCAACCTCCTTTTCATAAAGAAATGATGTGATGTACCTTTTTTTAATATAGTTCGGGTTGCAAATCACGTGTTCCACGCATGTATCTTCTTCCCCGTTACATATCACATAAATGTCTGGGCCCACAATATCCCTCCTTTTTTTTGCCAAAACACCGTATTCCTCTTGCACTTGACGTATCTGGAGGAACTGAGCTTCGAGGAACCCTCCATGCAAATATTATCACTCCCGGAACCTTGGTTTCCCACAACTTTTTTCTATTGACTACTATGCGTAGCACCAAGATCTGATGAAGCAGCTCGTTCCTTGAACCAGCACTAGTAGAAAAAGGGCCTTTAGTTCCGGTTCTGGAACCGTGACTAAAGAGTCGGTACTAAAGCCTCCCCCTTTAGTCCCGGTTCTAATTGGAACCGGGACTAAAGGCCCTCCACGTGGCCATTGCCTGGAGGTCCACCTTTAGTCCCGGTTGGTAACACCAACTGGTACTAAAAAATAATTTATGATTTTTTTGAAAAAAAATTTAATTTTTTTTTTGAATTTTGAATTTCTGAATTATTTTAACCTCTAATCTCTAATCACCCCTCATCACTCCTCAATTTAACCTTTAATCTCTAATCATCCCTCATCATTCCAAATCATCTAACTTCCCGAACGGTCACCCATCCTCTCACTACTCCAGCCTGAGCACGGTTAACTTCCAGGTTCTATTCTCCCTCGTTTCCAAGTCTGCACTTGTTGTTTTCCTGACAATAGTAAGATGGCAATCCTATTAACCCTCAGGAATTTAGCTTGAGCATGAAGTCACACATTTCACTGTTTGAGTGTGAAACTATTGTTCTAAAAATCAATAATTATTTAGTAACACTAATATTTCTTGAATAAGTAGTTTGACCACAGTTTGACCATAGTTGACCAAAATAAAAAAAAACTGAAATAATTATTTAGTAACACTAATATTCTTGAATAATTATTTAGTAACACTAATACTTCTTGAATAAGTAGTTTGACCATAGTTTGACCAGATTTAAAAAAATTCAAAAAAAACTGAAATTTGAGCATAACTTTTTTTCCTTTTAGAATTTGAGGATTCTAAAAATTTGCAAACAGGCTGTATGCAGTCTCCATCGGATGCGGATTTTCGTTCCGAACATTTTGATATATTATACGTTTTTTCGACATCGTATGCAAAAGTTATAGCCGTTTTACATTTTCCCTACATTTTTGCAAAACATGTCCAAATTTAAGTTTTTAAATTTTCCTAACTAGTAGATGTAGTAACGTAACTACCTCTCGAAGAATTTTAAATTTTGAAGTTTCTATCATTTTCTTTTGCTTGTTACAA